TCCTTGGTGGGACGGCTCATGGCTGGTTGACCTCCTCCTAGCCTGGTTGCAGCGCCGTCAGTTTGGACTGGTGTAAGGACTGGAACATGTGGTCCTTCTTCTACGGATCGCCATACATCTCTACCCAGTCTTCTCAAGTACCTTTCCATTCTTTGTGACCAGTGATGATATTCATTTGCGACTAGTATTGGGGCTCGGTTAGAACCACCGACACTGTTGGAAACATTCAGAGATAATGATTGTGCCATTTGAAATTGTTTTTTTTTGTTTTGAAGAAATGAGCTTTAGTGGTATAGAAGGCTCTTTGAAAAATCAGAGTTCCGTTTTCAAAAAGCAACCACTTTGGCTCTGATACCAATTGTTGAGAGAAAAACTTGGAGACACACTTGAACAAAAGTTAGAACAAGTATAATGCGGAATAGTTAATCTCAAAGGATCTAAAAGCTCAACAATAATATAGTTAGATAGTTAGAGAGTTAGTTGCGGAAATGTAAAGGAATGGAAATGACAGCAATTGTTATATCAAGAAGACACTTAAGCTGATTCATAACAAGGAATGCATTCACTCCAAGTTAATAAGGAAGATCAAGCTTAGTGATTAAGTCTTAAAGACTTGCTCCGAAGAGGGATTATGATCAGCAGAATTATGATAAGATTTAAGTAAGAAGAGATGAGTGAAGAAAGATAGAGAGATAACTTCAGAATGTGTATTCAGATAGAATTCATAAGTTATCGGTTCTTCCGTTTGAATACAAAGAGAGTAAGTCTCTATTTATAGAGACTTAGAAACTACACTAGATTACAACTCTATAAGCAGCCGTGCAAGGCATACTGGATAATAGAGTGTATTACATAAAAGACAAATAAAGTAATCTAGCTAAGTTGACTGCGGTAGCTGACTCCGGTTGCTGATGCGGTTGCTGATGAACAAGATTGACTCCGGGTGCTGAACCGTTGCGGTAGAAAGATGGTTGCGGTAGCTGAGTTCAAGAGGGTCACTTTTATGATTCAACATGCAACTAAGAGATACAGGCCCTGCCCACACTCCACTGACTCTGAGATACGGGCCTTGCCCACACTCAGCTACTTCGAGATACGGGCCCCGCCCACACTCGGCTACTATGAGATACGGGCCCCGCCCACACTTATCTACTGCGAGATACGGGCCCCGCCCACACCCAACCACTAATCCAACATACAAGTATCACACAGACAACAAGTATAACTAATTCTAACAGTCAGACATATATCCATAATCAAACTAAACTGTGAGATACGGGCCCCGCCCACACTCAGCTACTAACATTTCATACTACGGGCCGGCCTTGGTGCCTTAGACTCGTTCCTACGGAAAGGAAACTCACCTTGCAAGACTGATTGCTGAAACCCTAGTGTGAGATCCTTGTCTGCTGCTCTGGCGACTCCCCCGACTATCAATTCCAATATAACACTTAATCAGAATCTGCTAATCCTTTCTTAGGATAAGATGACCTTTTTACCCTTGGTCAAGGTCAAAGTCAAGGTCAATCCCAGTCAACCCTACTCGTCGAGTCTTATCCCAACTCAACGAGTTCGTGACCAAAACAGACCCGTGGTCAATCAAGTCCACTCATCGAGTCCTTTAACAGACTCGTCGAGTTCTTCCTGACATAACATCGGGAGATATTGACTCATACTTGTCGAGTTCTTTAACTTCCGAGTCCTATTCTTGTCCAACTCACTGAGTCATCTCATTGACTCAGTGGTTTCACTCATAACCATAAAAGGAGTTAGGGTTCACGACCCGACTCGCCGAGTTCCAAGAACAACTCGTCGAGTCCTCCTTGTGACCCTTCCATTCAGTCGATTTTAATCCATTCCAGTGCTTCCAACTCATAGATATGGACACTTTAGGCTAGCCTTTCACGTAAAGTTGCTAACTTTACGTGCATGCATGATGTTATAAATCTAGGACACCAAAACCAAGCTAAACATGAGAACCTAATGCATGAAATGGGGACATGGCTGAATAAAGGTGGCAACTTTGAGCTTCTGGAGCTCAAGAGTGCCTAGATCTAAAGTCCTTATGTCCCCAAAAGCTCTCCACTCGGAAATGACCTTAGAAATGGCCCCAAAAGACCATAAACAACTTAAATGAAGATCTAAGTGGAAAGAAGCCAAGGTACAAGCTTTATACCTTCAAGAGTTCTGAAATGCAACACAAACGCCAGATCTTATGCCTTCTCCTTGGATCTTCTAGCCTTTCCTTCCTCCTTCTATCCTCAAATCACACAAAAGGCAAGAAAAGCTTAATAACACTCAATAGTTGCTTAGGGTTTCGAGAGTGGGATGTGGAGGTGATGGAGGCTGGGGTGGAGACCCATAATGTTGCTTAAATAGGGTGCAAACCCTAAGGATTAGGGTTTCCACCTGATGGACCTACTCGCCGAGTATATTCCCGACTCGTCGAGTAGTCCACTTAAACCTCGCGATCAATCTGGCATCTACTCGACGAGTTAGGGCTACCAACTCGTCGAGTAGCTCTTATAAAATGAGCAATTAATGAACTAAATACGTACCAGGAACGGGGCGTTACAGAAAATATTGATCCGATTGATGTTTGCTATACGGGAAAAAAAACTTAGAGTGGTTATTTTGAAAAAAAAACAAACTTTTAATGGTTAAAACGGAAAAAAATTCTTTTAGTTGTTAAAGCGAAAAAAATCAAACTATAATGGTTTTTATGATTTTTTTATATTTTAAATAGGTCAAATTAATGGGTCGAGTATCCCGTGGTAGATCCATGAATTTTCATCGTGGAGCACTAGCAGTTAACAATATGATGGGGTCAAATAAACTTTTTTTACATACAAAAGCAAAACTTTCATACATACTAATCAGTAGCGTATCAAGAACGAAATCAATAGGATCCATCACACATAAAAAATTAAATAAAATAAAAGACATTAAGTTTTTTATGAGAATTTGATATTTTTTGAACTAAGAAAAAAATAGTACAAAATCTAGGATTTTCAGCAAAAGATATGCCGAAAAGGGTTATTTCAGCAAAATATAAATATTTGAAGGGTTTTATAAGTAAGTTCGGAGGTTTTTTTTTTTCTTTTTTTTTTGTTGTTGTTGTTGCTGCTGCTGCTGCGGAGAATCAAAATCCAAGAAGCTCAATGTGTATGCATTTAAACTCCTATCTCAATTGTTAATCGAGGGCATACGTTATAATTTTTATAATTTTTCTTTTTAGCCTATTTAACCCCTCCATCCCCTTTCTTCTTTGTCAGCCTTGTGTCCGCCCCTTGCGTATCTATTGATTTGATGGATCCATACATCCGGTTATTGTTATGGGTTTGATTATTCAAAAATCTATGGGTTATCAATACGAAGCATATCAAATTTTAAAATTTATTAGAAACATTTGAATCAAGGTTGATTCACAGGTTAAACCTTAATTGATATATATGTAAAGATATTAACTTCAACATATCCATAAGATGTGATGTTTTTTTTAGAAAACACATAAGATGTGATATATACAATTAGTGAGTTTGAACAATCTGTATTGGAAGTTAGTGTTTTGTGAATAACAATTTTGAGGAAAAAAAATCAAAACTATAATAATTTTTATAAAATTTGATATATATATATATATATAAGATATAGATATATATATATATATATATATATATATATATATATATATAGATATATACCCTTATATTTCAATCAAAATTATGTTATATCTATTTTTATTTTTATATAACAAAGACATAATTAAACATGGTTTTTAGAACTTGCATGGTGAAGATAAATATCAAAATGCATATGCACTTGATCCTTGTGGTTTCAAAATCATGTACGGTTGGTCCTTTGTCAAATTTCATTAGAAAAAAGGTGTTATGTCTAAGTAAAATGACCAAAATACCCTAATTTTATTGTTTATGTTCTTTCACCATTTTATAAACTACATGGACCAAGTATATAAATAGAAGACGAAATTTCACAATTGGTCCCTGTGGTTTACATAATATCGCACTTTGAAGACTTCCTAGCTAAAAGTCATGCGAATGGTCCTTAAGGTTTCAGTTCATTGCGAAATTGGTCCTTGACCCTAACCCCGTCACTTTTGAACCGTTAGTGCAGGGGTAATTTTGTCTTTTCAGCTCGCAGTCAATGTAATAATCCTTCGCACATAACACATGCATGATCTCTACAATTAAGTACAAAGATCATCTTCCCCAGCTCCCCATTACCCTTTCGCATTCATCTTCGTCTTCTACAACACAACACAAGGTGAGGATCATCTTCCAGTTCGATTGAAAACGATAATGGTGTTAACATTATGGCCAGTTCGTTCCAAATACACGAAAGCATCAAACTATGATTTGGAAAGAATATACCGTAAGTGATTTACTAAACTGATCATAGATTTTGTCGATATGAAATTACGCCAAAATAGTTGAATTTTTTTTGTTATTCTTTATTTCAGAGGGAATAAGCAAATACTTCACACTGAAAATCCATCATGGTTGGATATTCACGAAAAGCCCTGGGAGAAGGTACGTAGATGGAACAATAGACTATGTTGACTTCGTAGATATTGACGTTTTCTCTGTGCATGAGTTGGATATAATGGTTCGAGAAATAGGGTACGTAGAAGGGCAAACTTTGTATTATCATTTTCTTATTCCAGAAGTAGAGTTGGACTTTGGTCTCTTACCTCTAGGAAATGATGGGGATGTGCATGTATTGTCAAATTATGTGGAAACAATAACCTTTTAAGTATCTACATAGAGCATGGGCAGACAAGGGTTAACAATTATTTTTTGTCCCCCACAAAGGTTATTATTGAGGAGTTGGTTAATGATGTGTCCCCTGAACTAGATAGGAACCAAAAGAAGGGGAAAGTTGTTGGATCTTCTAGGAAAAAATTAGACTACTCCCAGTCCATTGTGCCATATGGAACATTTGGTGGATCTTCCCAAGTGATACAGGGTAATGAGCCAGTCATGGATGATGTGCCAGTTATGAATGATGAACCAGTCATGACTGATGAGCCAGTCATGAATGATGAGCCAATCATAGATAATGAACCAGTTTTAGATGATGAATATGATTGTGAGGATAGTGCAGATGAAAGTGAATTTGATAGTGCAGATGAAAGTGAATTTCATAGTCAACATGATGCAAAAAAAAAAAAAACAGTCTTTGATGAGGAACCTTTGATAGATGATGTGGAGGTGAACATGATCAACTTCTGTAGTGTACTTGATGAAGACATTGACTTGGGGGAGCCTGATCCGACAAACAATAATACAAAGGAACATGAAGACATTGAAGATGAACCTTTAGAAGTCTTAGATAATGATGTGTTTGAATCATTTGCTAGTGAACAAGAGCCTAGAAAGAAATTGTTAAAGTCCATTCTAAAACCAGTTGCTTGTTCATCTGGTGAGGTTCACACTAAAGCTTTTAAGATTGGTCAGACATTCAAGGAAAAGGAAATGATCAGAGAAGTTATTGCCAACTACTCTGTAAAAGAAAGGAGGGATCTATATTATGTAAAGAATGACAAGACAAGAATTAGGGTAAAGTGTATGGGTATTGTTCCTGAATTGACTGGTGACAATAATAAAGGTAGGGGCAATTTAGTACTTTCCAAAAAAACAAGTTGTCCATGGGTTCTTTTTATATATCGGGCAGATGAAAAACAAGTTTGGACTGTTAAAACATACGAAGATTGTCATTCGTGTTTGCAAACAAGGACAATGAGGACTTGTTCATCTAAGTTTCTAGCTAACAACATATTGGATCAAGTTGAAAGTAATCCCAAGATCCCTACACGTGCTTTACAGGAGGACTTAGTACAAAGGTATTCACTTTCAATATCAAAGATGAAAGTATTCCGGACCAAAGCTATGGCAAAACAATTTGTTTATGGTGATTATGAAAAGCAGTATGGTATTTTGAGAGAATATGCCATGGAATTGAAGTCAAAGAATCCAGGAACAACTGTGAAGATAAATGTGGAAACTGAACCGAACTTGTGTTCTGAAACAAGGATCTTCAAACATATATATATATATATATATATATATATATATATATATATATATATATATATATATATATATATCAAGGTTGCAGAAAACGCTAGACGTTAGCTAGGCGGTGGACTGGGGTCTAGGGATTAATCGGTTAGACGGGGATTAATCAGGGACCATTAATTATTAAAAAAATAATTCAAAAATTTATAAATCTAACTTTAATACTAAGAATATAAGTAAATAAGCATAAAAGTTTAATAATAACTTAATAAGTTTAACAAGCACAACCATTTATCATCCAAAATAAGCATAAAAATTTAATAATAAGTTGAACAAGCACACAAAATCATCATCCAACAAGTCCATAAAAGTTTAATAATAAGTTTAACAAGCACAACAATTTTCTTCTAATCTTCTCCACATACTTCCATTATTTGAACCTCATCTAACTCATATTCGTCTTCTTCTAACACTTGCTCTCACTCTCGGACTCGAAATCTTCATCGAAAAGTTCCCTCGTTTTTGGACTTTCTTGGGGTGCTTGACTAACATCGGTTTCAAGAGCTTCATCAACCGTTTTGGGGTCTACTTCATCTACATCACAATCACCCTCATTAGATGCCATTGATTGTCAAATGTTATTAAAAAATCACATTAACACATTAAAAATGTTCACTCAAATCAATTTATCATCACTTCATCTAATATTGACTATATCATAACATTAACACCATATTCATATCAGTTTAACACATTAAAAAATCACATTAACATATTAAAAATACAAACTCACATATCATTTTAGCAGAAAAATTGAGTATATCATCACATTAACACCATATTCATATCAGTTTATCATCACTTCATCTAATATCATCACAAATCAGCATGCTCTGTATATACTTCATATCAATTTAACAGAAAAATTGAATATATACTTCATATCACAAGCTAAAACAGGTATAGAAAAAATTAAATGCTTAAGCTTCATATCAACAGCCTCCAGTAGTGAAAATGCAGAAAAAAATCAGTTGATTAACAACTTAAATCAAAGAACGAGTCCATCTGTTGATTGTTGAACCTATACATTTCAACTTAAATCAAAGAACAAAAATCAGAAGCAGGATATCGAGGTTAATAGAGTAAAGTCGAAGTTTGACAGCATAAATCGAGATTAACAGAGGTTAATCAGTTGAGGACGAGTCCTTTAGTTCTTCACAAATCCGTTGCTTAACAACTTAAATCGAGTTTAATAGATAAAATCGAAATTTTACAGCTTAAATCGAGTTTGAAGAACTAACCTGTGTAGATGATAAAGACCGCTATCGGAAGAGAAACAAGGCTCTAACATCGACGAAGAAGGAGGAGAAACGGGAGGGTGCGATCAGATTTCTCAGATTCCAGCTTTAAGAGGTGATGGCGAGGGCGAGGGTGAGCTTCAAGTTCTCAGATTTCAGCTTTGAGTCGAGAGAGAAAGTGAGAAACCACATAAAATGTTTTCACAGGGGGACGATGGAATGAGAAGTGAGAACGAACCCTAGCAAAAGTTTTTAGTTTTGACAATTTTGCCCCTAATCTTTTTTGAAAATCCGTTGACCAAAGTTGACCAATTAAACCGCCTAGATCCGATTAGCACCGATTAGACCCGATTAGCTCCGAGTTTGATCGGCGTTGACCAGCCCCGATTACCTTGAGCGATTACATATAAACGTGATCGGTTGCAGTCTGCCTAGCGCCTAGGCGCCGATTAATCGGCCGCCTAGGCCGATTTTTACAACACTGAATACACTACTATTCATAAATAAATACAATCATTTATACATTAATACACTTCTATTCACAAATGAATACACTGCTATTCATAAATTAATACACATTCTATCATAAAATGCATACCTCTAATCATAAATAAATACACTCATTCACATGAATACACTAAAATTCATAAATACGTACAACCATTCACACATGAATACATTGCTATTCATAAATAAATACACTGATATTCATAAATAAATACACATTCTATCATAAACAAGTACAATACCCTTATTTAACAGAACATGCAAAAACCTTTATAAATCTGAATTTGAAACCTTTCATCAAACAATCCCTTCACATCTTCAGAAAAACATTTCTCTCTTTCTTCCTTATAAACCTCACCATCTTTTGAAATTAAAGGAAGCCTCAGTCTCAGAGCAGCTTGAAATGTATTCCGATTGAAGGAAGAACAATTTCATTTTCCTGTGTCGTTTAAGATGGATGTCCGATTGCAATCTTAAGAGAAAGGTGGAATGATTTCATCTTCGGAAATGATGAATCTGAGTTCTGGAAACAATAATGTGGGTGTGAGATTATAACTTAAGAACTTTAGATTATTTGACAATAAAATAAGTGAACAAAAGGTTAATACAACCTTTATTTAATTGTCTTTCAGAAGTACAGGATGTCCAAATTCATCCATGAATCATCCAAAGGCAAGTTTAATTGGTTAAACCACTCCAGCCATCAAACTAAACCAAACGACCAACAATTGATGCTACAATTGAAATGAAATAAGCGAACAAAAGAAGGAAGGGTTTCACCTGTCTTCAGCAATGATGAATCTGAGTCCCAAATCTGGAAACAATAGCTAGTTCAAAAGAGAAAGGCGGAATGATTTCATCTTCTTGTGTGTTTCAAGACGGATATCCGATTGCGATCTGAACCAGGTACACACCTCCCTCTCGATTTTCCATGAATCGATTGGAGGTCCGATTGATATCGAATTACAGGAGGCCGATTGGAAATCTACTTGCAGGTCTGATTAGGGCTACGAAAATCGAAGGTGCGGTGGAGGTAGGCTAAGAGATGAAGATATCTTGAACATTGATGGGTTTCTCATCTTGAATCGAATATGATGATGGAGGTTGATGGTTAAACCCGATGCTAGCAATGGTGGTGGATCAATGATGTAGGGCTATGCAAAATTGGTGGCGTAGGGATGAGATGATGATGATGAACAGATGGCGACGGTGGAGGCGTACCTAGGTTTACAGAGAGATGAAGAGAGAGACGGAAAATGGAAGGAAATAGGTGAGTGATTGAGGAATTATAGGAATTAACTAACGGTGGTATAGGTCCAATTACTATAATACCCTTATCACTATTTAAAGTTACACTTTAACACCTATAACTTTTAGAATTTTACATAAATTTCTCGTTTGATAATAGCCTTAGATTTAATTATTTAAATGGGCCAGATGTGTTCTCGCGTTCTCAACCTTTTAGGTGTTCTCATTTGATCCTACTCCTATATATATATATATATATATATATATATATATATATATATATATATATATATATATATATATATATATATATATGCATAGGTCCATTGAAGGAGGGATTTAAAAAAGGTTTGAGGGATTTTCTTGGATTTGATGGTACGTTTTTGAAAGGTCCATTTCCTGGACAGATCCTCACTGCAGTTGGGCTTGATTCGAACAATGGCATTTACCCAGTTGCATATGCCATTGTAGAAACTGAAAATATTAACTCTTGGACATGGTTTTTGGAACACTTAGGTGATGACTTAGATTTGAATTCTTCATCTAACTTCACTTTCATTTCAGATCGGCAAAAGGTACCCTCTAACTTCAACAAATTTTACTTTTTTTTTAATTTCATTTACTAACTTATTTTAATTGTACTCACAGGGAATCTTAGTTGCAATAGAGAAGCTATTTCCATCAGCTGAGCAAAGGTTCTGTTTAAGACATGTGTATGACAACATGAAATTGAAACACAAAGGAGATGAATTGAGGGAAGCAGTATGGTGTTGTGGAAAAGTATACAACATACCAAAATTTAATAGGGCTATGGAGAAACTGAAGAAGCTTAACCCAGAAGCACATGAGTGGTTAAGTAAAATTCCTGCAAAACACTGGGCAAGATCCCATTTCTCTGGTAAGTATCATACTCTTTTCACTAACACATTTCATAACTGATTTCAGAAATTAATTGTTTGGTTTTATATATAGGAAGGACATTGACTGATAGTTTGACAAATAACTTGTGTGAGGTATTTAACTCCAAGTTAGATGAGGCAAGGGACAAGCCTATAATCACTTGTTTGGAATATATTAGAGAATACCTCACAAAGAGAATAGTAAATCTTCATAAGGTGCTAGACAAATGCAAAGGTTCCTTAAGTACAACTGCAACAACAATCTTAGAAAACAATAAGATAGAGGCAAATAAGATGAGGGTTCTATTTAGTGGAGCTGATAAATATCAAGTGACTGGTCTATGGATGGAGCAATATGTTGTGAACTTGAAAGAGAGGAGTTGCACTTGCAGGAAATGGGACATTACAGGTATTCCATGCCAGCATGCTATTGCTGCAATGTATGATAAGATGCATAATGGGTCAGAATGTGGAGATCCTGAGGCTTGGGTGAGCAAATGTTACTGGCTTAGTACATGGAATGTTATGTACCAACACACAATTGACCCAATAAATGGAAGGAGCATGTGGCCTAGATCTGATTGTCCAACAACCCTTCTCCCACCCAAACATCACAAACAGGTTTGTTGTCATACATGTTTTGTATAATTTAACTTGAAACTATTTAATAAACTTGTTGATATGTAACCATATAAATTTGTTTATAGGTTGGCAGGCCAAAGAAAAAAAGGAAGAGGGCAGTTGATGAGCCAACTCAAAGTACCAAGTTAAGTAGGAAATACTTGACAGTCACTTGCAGCAAATGCCACAACAAGGGTCACAATGCCAGGACATGCAAGGGGCAGGGAGGTCCTAGTGAAGTTGGAAAGGGGAGCGGACAGAAGAAGGGGAAACATGTTGTAGCTTAGTTTGTAGTTTTAAGTAGTCTTTTGCTATTATGTCTAAGTAAAGTTAGAACATGTTTACTAAGTTTGATTATGGTATGTCAGTCAAAACAATTACTTTTGATAGGTATTTTGGGTATTGTATGTTTGTAACATGATATTGCACTTACATGCATTATGGTTAATGGTAATGCCACTTTGGTAATTAGTTTTTTGGTTATGTTACTGCACATTAATAATCAACATTACACTTACATGCAATCAAATTGACAATTTGCTTCCTTGCTAATATAATATCCATCACATTAAACCTAAACATCAAACTTACATTACATATAATATCCATTACATTTTCTTGTCCCAACATTACATACAATCACAAGGAAAATCCTTCAAAAGCTAAAACAAAAATGGGACCAAAACACAGATTCCAAATCACAGATTTTCCCCCAAAAGCTTCTTGATTTTTTACTTGAAAAAGTAACACACCAAGAAAAACAACCAACTCAGATAAAGTAACCATTTCACCATCATCAATCTTGCTTCGAGATTGTTTCTTCCACGCAACAACCCCAGAATCACAACAGTTGACCTAGGGAACATGGGAGGGTCGAACCATCCAAAAAAGCTGCATGTTCCTCCTAACCTTGAGCATGACCAGAATCGACAACCTGGGTTCAAATCAGTCCACGATGTCACCAAAATCGCCGGCCTTCCACAGTGGCATATCACCATCTTCTTCAACTTTGGAATAGTGGGGAGGGAAGAACAGATGTAAGGAACGAGAAGTAGAAGGCAACAAGGTGGGGCTTACATTATATACTCTGATGCACAACAATATAAAAAGACAAAATTACCCCTGCACTAACGGTTCAAAAGTGACGGGGTTAGGGTCAAGGACCAATTTCGCAATGAACTGAAACCTTAAGGACCATTCGCGTGACTTTTAGCTAGGAAGTCCTCAAAGTGCGATATTATGTAAACCACAGGGACCAATTGTGAAATTTTGTCTAAATAGAAAGAAATTAGATAATAACTCTAATGTTTTCACCCTCCCATCGTTACCTTTACCCTCCAGCCCTAAATGCTACCTACAACCACCACCCCTACCTTCGACACTACCTACAACCAATCATCATCATCGTTCACCCTTGAATCAAGGGGTACCCGACACCACCCTATTGTTTCTCCATTTTTCCTCATCTCCGACGACTCCACCAATGATCCAACCTCGTTCACCAACCCCGTGTAAATGATTTTCAGAATGATTTTTTTTTAATGTTTTTCATATATCCTCCATCGACCTTCAACACATCTGCCCTCTACCAATAAATCTGTCGATGATGATGATGAGAATATTTCAGAGAGATCAACTTCAACCCTATATAAATGGTTTTTAAAAGATTTTTTTGGAAAGATCCATACACGTTCAACCCCTTTTAAATGAAACTTTTTATGTTTCCAAGCTCTTTTGGGATAACCCCGGATAAATAGTTTTCAAAAAGAATGATGTTTGCATTAGTTGTATCAGAAAAATCAAATTCAGAAATATTGACCTTGATAGAACCAACAATAAGTTCATGAATATATTTGTTTATAATTTTACAGTTTCTCATTCTTATTTTTTGTTCACACCTGGAAATCGTTGTGCATAATTGGAAATCGTTGTTTTGATTTAGAACATATTCTCATCTTAGCCTTTGAATTTTGATCTTGAAATTATGAGCAGAATAGATTTAAGACTTATATTGAAGTTGGTGTCCTTATGGTTAACTTTGTTGCAAATCTCAAGTTCAATTTTTTATGGTGGTTTACACTTCACATATGAGTGAGGACTAAGGTCTCGTGTTTATCTGTCAATCGAAAAAAAAGGCAAAAGAAGGGATGTAATCAATCCGAATCGATTCAAGTACTCTCAAGCTCGAAACTCGACTCGACTAAAAAAATCGAGCTCGAACTCGGCTCGAGCTCGGCTCAAGCTTAATAAAGTAATCGAGACTTTCGACTTTGGCTCAACTCGACTCAACTAACTCTTGAAAAAAAAATTACATTAAATTACAATAAAAATGCATTTAAGCTCGTGAGCTCAACTCAATTCGGCTATTTAATATGTAAATATGAATAAAGCAAAGGGTAAAAGTGTAAATATAACAATGCCCGGTTAAGTTCACGAGTTTTACGATCTGAGTATTCCAATACTCAAGTTCGATTGATAATGTATTCGAGTAGCTCGAGCTCAAGCTTCACTTGACTTGAACCGAGCCAATTTCAAGTATTTTTTAAATCAGTACCGAGTATCTCGGGTATTACGATCTCCATGTTTATACCAATTGCAACGAGAATTATAAACCCACATTACTTCTTCCTGAGCCAGCAATCCCTCCAATTAAAGCCAAAGATCATTTCTCAGTCTGTCAATTTCAGGGTAGTAAGCGCCAGCTGCAAGCTTTCGGTTAATGCCATCCAATCTTCGGTACAAAATTTCCTTCTTCTATTTCATATTTCCAAACACTTCCTTATTCCATCTAGTACGATTGTCTTTCATAAGAACAGGAAAGTCTTTACAGGAAGTGATCGAATCAGTACGCCTTGCCATAATGAATGTCTGTTGGAGATAGAGGTATGGCGAAGAGCTTTAGAACTTTTCTTATTGGATTGAGAGTGCCCGTTATCTGCCATAGCCGCATGAAGAATTCTGAGAGGAGGTCTTTTCCAATACCAAGCCCTAAAGAGAAGGGATTGATAGATCGCTTCTCACCAGTAGCTAGCCTGTCTACTGTCCCATAGAAGGGGAATCAAGCCCGATTCTATCTTGCTTTCACCTCCGCTGTGAAGGCTCTTATCTCAGAAGGCATACAAAAAGCTCTTCCACGCCTAGAATCGTACTTTCCTTTCATCGTTGACGAACACCTGCGCTAATAAGACAAAGAGGGAGTCTATGCCTTGAATGAATCAGTAAAGTAACAACGGATTAGTGGAATGAGGGATCAAGAGACAGATAGGGGGAGAATGGCAATCATTGGTGGACCTTCCCTTGAACGAGTCACGGAGCTCTCAACGGAGTGGTTTAGAAACATAGATAGGGTCAACGACGGAACGAAGAACGAAACTTTATGACAGCTTTTTCGTACACGTTCACTTGCATCACATACACAAGTGCTCTTTGAACCGTGCAATAAGGTCACCCATAACACGGCTCTCCCATTTGAGTTATCTTAGCCCCCAGCCATGCTATTCAATAATCTTAGAAAAATGGCAGCGTAAGGTAACAACTAGTATTGAAAGCTGGTCGTCTTTGGAAGCGTTCGCTGGTAACCAAAGCGTCTCGTTCCCGCAACCACTTTGGTAGTTTGCTTATAGCTTTTTTAGGTTATGCAATAGAAGGGGGCTGACAAAACCCCCGATTTCCCGAGAGTGAGATAGCCGATAGTAGTAGACTAAGGCCGCTATTCCTGACAAGGAATAGAGTAAGGCCTTTACCGATGTGCGCAAAGTATCAAAAGGAACCTCTCGGAGAAGTTCCGGGCCTCGGTAGCCCTCCTTTCTTATCTATTTTCATATATAATATAAAGAGAATAGAAAGCGTACTGACTCTGACTGCTATCTACGATGCGTCACAGTTACACCCTTGAGGAGTGAGTGAAATGAAAAGACATGGGTGGCTTTCAAAAGGAGATTTGGGTGGGTCCTATGTTATTTTATAACGATAAATAAATAATTATAATTAATAATAATCATAATAGTAAATAAATAAATAAGAACATAATGTTCATTTTTTAAAAAATAACACTTCAAAAATAGTATTTAATATATGAAGGATCTACCATACTAACGAAATAAAACCACGGGACCAATCATATACTTAGTTTTGATAGTTGTCAATCTCGAGTACAAACCATATAAACCAATTATGTAATTATGTCTATGATAAAACAATAAATAATTTTCGAAGTTAACAAACACAATTTGTGGGCAGATTACATACAGTCAAAATCAACCCCAACGACTATGTGGGCGCACCAAGTAACCTATCAAACTATGTCTTCTTTATCAAGTCGCTCTTATGATATTTAATCCCTAAAACCCCCAGTTCCATCTCTGCAAATTTAATTGGTTTTCCAAAACCTTCAATCTCCACGACCACTCGCTATGAACACTCAAACAAGGTATGAAAACATGAATTAGGATTGACAAAATTTTCATAGACTGGCTTTAAATCTTTAATGAATTAATGCTCTGTGTTCTTCTCCTTCGTGTAGTTCAGGATCAGAGATTCCAAACGCTCACATCGTGATAAAGCAATGGTGGATTCCAATCATCTATCTTCTTCTTCTTCTGTTCCAATCGTGTAGCGCAGAATCAGAGATCGTCACCATTGATGTTCACAGAGCGAACTCTCTTCTCAACAATGACAAGTACCGTTATCTTGACGTCAGGTAATTACTTTGTATTTATTCTAATTCAGATTGAATCACTACTTTCGTGATTTTGTTTACGAACTATTTCTTCTTTCATGTTGTTTTCTCTTTACATTTTGTAAAATTTTTATCCTTATCTGATAACAGGACTTCGGAGGAGTTCATGAAAGGTCATATCCACGCCGATGATGCTCTTAATATTCCTTATATGTTTAATACCCCTCAGGGTAATTCTATCATTTTTCTCCATGAATATTATCGTTTTGCTATGAATCGAAATACAATTTTTTTTTTTCTATAATCATGTTATTTTGTTCTCAAAAAATATTTTTTCTTGATAAATAGAAGTAATGTCGACTTTTTGAGCTTTCAGGTAGAGTGAAGAATGTCAATTTCTCGGAACAAGTACTCCTATTGTGTAAAAAGGATGATCATCTTGTTGTGGTAAATCAAATGAATAAGAAAATACGTTTCTTTTTGTTCAAAAATATAATTTTAAAATGTAGCCTTTTGTCTTGTATTGGACTTTTATGTGTTAAGGGTTGTCAATCCGGCGTTCGTTCTGTTTATGCAACAACCATTCTTCTTGATGCGGTAAGTTTTGTTTTCACCTAAAAATTAGTGCTCACTTTGCTCACCAATATATTTTTTTAGAGCATATATATATTTTTAATAAAAATAGAATATTTGTAGGGATTCAAACATGTATATAACATGGGAGGGGGATATCTTGCGTGGGTAGAGAATGGTCTACCAGTGGCTGTGGTGACACCCAAAGTGGAGCTCTAAGTCCTTTTGCATGATGATACAAAGTGTTATTGTATAAAAATGTAAATATCGTAACATGATTGTATTCAATTTGATTATTTTGGTCATGTTAAGAATATATATATATATATATATATATATATATATATATATATATATATATATATATATATATATATATATATATATTTGGGGATAGTGAATATGAGGCTGTTATATACATAAGCTTAGGTGTGGAACCTATCAAAACTACTCATTTTGATAAATAAAAATAAAAATTAAACACATTCTACCTTTATTTTTCTTTTATTCTTAAAAATCTTAAGAATTGGACTTCATCTTCTTGTTTCACATTTTTATTTACAAGAACCGTTCATCATTATTCTTTGCTTCTGAAAATCATAATGATAGGATTTCATATATCTCTTGACTTTCGATTTTTTTATTTGAAATCACTACATCACATTATCATTATGCGTGTATCCGTACATAGCAAAATCCAGATGTTTAGCAATTAAATCATTGAAAGATGGAAATCATATTAACACACAAATGAAATCATATAACATGTGGTAAAATTCAATTGGGTAGCATATCAATACGTGTCCTGTAACAATCAAGTTTTTTTTTTTCAATTGGACTGTGGAAACATTAAACTTGGTTGAGACTTGGTTTATAATTTATAAGTAAAAGAAGACGACGGTGATCGAAAACAATTAATTTCCAGAATTATTGGCAAAAAGTTTTGAAGGATGGGAGAAGAACAATATAATGAAAGATGAAAACCGAGAATATAGATTACCTATTTTGAAGTGTTATGTGGGGAAGATCTTTAGATACTAAAAATAAGGAAATCAAAATACTAATTTGTTAGGATTTATATCAAAACTACGTAGCTTTGATTGGTTCCACACCTAAGCTTAGGTAGATAACAACCTCATATTCACTTTTCCCTATATATTTACTATCTTATAAAAGAAATCTAACTATTTTTAAAAATAGATTGATTATAATAATAATATTTTTTTAAGACGTCCAAATGATTAAGCTGATAGTACAAGTAACCATTAATAAAATAATATTAAATTTTAACCACGTTTTGAATTCAAATATTTCTCATCAAATCTCCTTATATTTCTCAGCAATTTGATATCGTTCCCTCAAATCCCGGATTCATTCAAATTTTGAACCCTTTTAGATATCCTTAAATTTAGCATGTTGATTCAAATATCCCTCCCATTGCATATACCTCTTTGTTCCCTCCCCTGCTATAAAGCCCACCGTCCAGGAACAGAAGACGACTTCATCTCCCATCTTCCACTATCCCCAACCATCGGTTTTATGACACCGATTTCTGACGTCTTTCCTTCCAAAAACGACTTCACCACAGGAACCCTAAATTACTTTTGGAAGCTCACCCTCTTCTCATTCTCTATCTTTTTTCTCTCAACTGACATTTAGAGTTTTGATTTGTCATATGTGACGCCGTCCACCGCGGCCACGACATTTTTTGATCGTTTTTACACCGTCGCTTCCAGTCAAACTCAACCATTCCCAAATGTCGGCCTGATCGATACACACTTTTGTCGTTTTCATGGTTATGCCTTCAACCACCCAGCGCCATGGTTTCCAACATATTCAGGTATATTTCTAGACTATACATTTATGTACAATCTTTATTGCAATTTTGAAATATTTTAAATAGATACTTAAATTTTGACCGACTTCGATTTTCTAAACATCGAGGTTCAATTTTGTGGAAAGATCTATGTTTGATCTTTTTCATTTGCATGTTTATTGTATCATTTTCCGAATTGAGGATGTTATTACGAAGCTCAAAATCTAGAAGAAAAAATGAGCAATGGGTGACTGGTGAGAGTACAATCCTTCATTTGACCCTAATTACCTGTCTATATTTTTCTTTTTAATCTAGATGACACTAGGTGGAGTCCATGCTTTTCACGAATAATTTCATTTTGGAACTACCTTTTAGTTTAGTTGTTTTTGGTTCATAAGTCTTCAACCATGTTCGAATTTGTTGTTGTTTTTATTTTATTTTTAGCTCTAATTTGTTTCTTTTAGCGTGATCCAGGTTCAATTTCTTTTGCAACATGTATTGGCTAGAGAGAAGCAAACACAAGAGTGTCCAATACATTAAAGAGAGAAGCAAACACCCATTTTTCTATTGTTTTCTTTGCTTAATCTAAAGCTCTTTCCAACATCTTTAATTTTCATATTTTATGATTATATATATGTTTGAGATTTTACTTTTGATTGAATTGATTAGTGTGAAGACTAACGGTTATAAAAAAAATAGATCTAAACTTTATGAAGAAGATCGATGTTTGGAGGGGTTCATTTTTTTCTTACTGTGTTAATTTTGGAGGTTTCTTTTCAGGTCCAAAAATCTGGAACGTAACATCCCATGGATGATGAACGAAACACAAATTTAACCCGTAAGTTTATTCCTATCGGTTTATTTGTGATTTGTCATATACTTTTTCTCTGATATTCCAAGTTTAGATTTCCATTTTTTTGTTTTCTATCATTTTTGTTTTTTGATTCTTGAAGTGAAGAAGAACAATCAAGATCTGTAAATATGTTGTTTGATTTTCCAGCTTTTGAATCTTCATCATGTTTGTAGATGTTTTGGGTTCTGGTTCATTTTGAAATGAAGACCAAGCATTCAACTTGTAAGCATGTTCTTTTCAATTCAATTTATGATTATCATCACTTTTACACTTTAGTATCTCAGCTTTTAATTCCTTTTTTTTCCTTACCATCAATTTTTATTTTTTAAATTTCGATTTGAAGAAGAAAAATCTGATTTGTAATGTTTTGTTTGATTTCCCAGGTTAGAAATCTGCAAATATTCATCGAAGAATTATGAGATGAAAAATTCTAGGAAGCAATAAGGGTTACTTGAACTCGAATGTTATCTCTCATTTTTTGTGCATGTTGGACAATCGGATAAAGTTGCATAGTCATGTAACTTTATAAGTGGACATTTGACATGGTTACCCTTCTGTAAGTTTGCATAGTCATTTTTCATGCATCTTACACATTTTTCAATAATTTAAACGCCATTAACTAATGTAGTGCTCTTTGACTTGCATTTAGCATATGTATCAACTGTTTCACTAGCTTTTTAGATAAATCTCGTTGCTAATTAGGGGATTGTGCAGGAAGTATGGTGTATTTGCCACTTGTATTTCTATCAGCTGCTTTTGTTTTTTGATGCCACTAACAAGTCTTTGAGGATCTTTGGTTTTGGGGTTGTGAAGTTTGATGTGTGTGTGTGTGGTGTCTGTATTAAGTATACAAGTGTGGTTGTGTCTCTTGTGTGTGTATTTGTCGATGCACATGTGTGTGTGTTTTTAAAGATAAGATGGGTGAAATGCACAAAGGATGAAGTCGAAAGAATGTATAAGCCAAGAAGAAAGTGGGAAACTTGCACCTATATTGTTGAAGGGAGCAGGGACGGACCTAGGATTTCGTAGGAGATGTTGCCGGTAGCACATTTTTCCTTTTACGTAGTGGCATAAATGTAGAAAAAACGAAAAATTCGAAAATTTTTACACTGTATTCGGAAAAATAAGGGGTTGCCGGTGCTACTATGGGCACCATAGTGGAACCATCCCTGGAAGGGAGTTAGCTCTCTCTGCAGATCATGATTTAGTTTGTAGGATATTCAACTATTTTCATCATAATACTGGTACAGTTAGCAATATATGATGTTAAACTGTTAGTGTTGTGAGATCAAGACTAGAGTGTAGATTGAAAAATTAAATTGTGAATTCTTGATTATAGGATCAAGATTGTCTAATTGAGGTTTTTAAATATGAATTTTGTATCAAAAGCATCCGGTCATTGTGAGTTGAAGTTGCAAACTACGGACCAAAAATAATTTCATATTATTAATTGTAAAAATATGGTTTGTGAATGTATAGTTATTACATAAATATAAGACATTTGATAAGCCTATAACTTAAAGGTTGTCCAAATATATTAAAAGTGGTACTTTCCATAGCATGAATATTAACATGCGTATGTAAAGAATAACGTATGACTTAATTTTTTTTGTTGTATAATTGCATCTCTAATCCACATTAGTTATGTCAAATATGGTGTAATTAATTTCGACACATTGTGATTATAGTACTATGTATGAGATTAGTTATAAAAAAATAAATATTATAATTGTTTCAAAGTCAAAGGATGCAATCTTCACAATGTTTTCTTTGTCAAATAACCGTATACTTTTAAATTATAATATATAGTCCAATTGTATTTATTTCCATTAGTTTACTATTTGTTAAAGTAATACCAAATTTATATTATTATTATTATTATTATTACACTTCTTTTCTCCACCTAATAAAATTAACAGCAACACGTAATTGATAAATATTAATCTTAATTATAAATCATATTTGACTATTTATTGTATATTCATTTGAGATATGATATTTTTATGAATAGCCAAATAATTCACAAAAATAGATGATTCATCGAAAGAAAATTATTCACCTTCCACAAAAGAAATTATAAATAACTAATATTTTTTTGAAATAAAACAGACAATTTAGTTGCCGAAATGAAACTGAGAATGTACATATATATATAACATTTGACATTGATATTATGATGTTAAGCTAATGAAAAGACTAGGCTAAATATATAAGAGTTTAAGACTTTCATTTGATTTGATGATATTTATATTAAAAATAAGGGAGATAATCATTGCAAAAGGAAAGTGTTCACTAAAATAAATATATTTGACGTCTATGGAAAGAAAGCTAATCATCTATTGAAACTAATCGACGATAGTGAAAAAAAACTAGCCGTCCAGAACTATTTCTCGAAAGGAACTCTTCGGCGCCGCCGCATTGTGCGGGTATATATATATATATATATATATATATATATATATATATATATATATATATATATATATATATATATTCTAGTTTTAGTACTTAGTTATCCAGATTCGTGAAGAAGTCTCGATGTTATTTGAAGCATTTTGGAAGAATTGAGTTAGATTTGACATTTTAGTTGCATGCACACTTTGATTTTAGTAGAAATTCATGAAAAGAAGTAGTTAATTTTAATTTCTAAACATGTAAATTGCTCGAATTACACCTAAATTACAAAGTGACTTTAAAAACTGGAGCCCTTAAAATATCCCAGTTGGGCTCTTCAAACTTCAAAGCTGTCCAGACCTGGAAATGAAGTCCATCCAGCACTTGTGGATACCCAGTTGTTTCCGCAGGTTGTGTTTGAGTATATGTATGTATAGTGGGTTTCTTATCTTCCAATATAGAAGGGAATTCTGAACTTGAGCTGCGTGCTTGAATCCGCCATTACTGCACTGGTTGCACTTGAAGAAAGTGCAATTGCAATCAAAGCAAGCAATCCTCTTCCTCCGTGGCTTCATCTTGATTTGCTTGGCTTGGCGGTGAACCAGGGATGAATAATGGCTGGGTGAGGAATGCGAAGATTGCATTTATGAGAGCCCAGGACTTAATAGCTACGTTCTTATCCTCATCAAGAAACTCTTTATAACTTGAGTTGCGTCCTGGATTGCAAAGGAAGATTGTGGGTATCCCGCCTTTAATTTCAAAGGGCTTTCCGTATCTTCTATTGTACAGCCAATCACTTTTGGCCCCCATGAATTCCTTAAAATGTTTTAAATAACGCGGATCAACGTTATCAATGACGTTATACCAGGCATCATTGTTGTAAGTTTTTGGGCTTAAATCATAATCACCGCACAAGTAATTGTGTGGGCCTAATGATCTAGCCCATGTTGTTTTTCCAGTTCTAGTATCACCTTCTACAACTATACTCATAGGTCGGTCAGGCCTTCCAGAGGCACTAACAACGTTTTCTTCAACCCAGTCTTGAAGAATGTCAGGTACATTGTTAAATGTACTGGATACAAAAGGAGAAACATATATTGCAGGTGGAGCCTGGAATATCCTATCCAAATTAGCATTTAATCTATGAAAACGTGAACAATAATCTTTTGGGCGTTTTTCCCTAATTATCTCTAAGGCTGTTGTTTTAGACCCAGAATTTAAGGCTTCTGCGTAAACATCATTAGCCGATTGTTGACCCCCTCTTGCAGATCTTCCATCGATCTGGAATTCTCCCCAATCAATTGTATCTCCGTGCTTCTCGATATACGACTTCACGTAGGAGCTGGATTTACCTCCCTGTATGTTTGGATGGAAATGTGTTGACCTGGTTGGAGAGACAAGATCGAAGAATCTGTTATTCGTGCATGTGTACTTCCCTTCGAATTGGATAAGCACGTGGAGATGAGGCTCCCTGTTTTCATGAACTTCTCTGCAAATCTTGATGTATTTCTTGCTTACTGGGGTATTTAGGTTTTGAATAATTGAGAGAGCTTCCTCTTTTGTAAGAGAGCAGTGGGGATATGTTAGAAAAATATTTTTAGAAGAAATGCGAAAACGAGAACTCGTTGGCATATTTGTAAATAAATGGATGTCACCAATTGGTCTCTCTTCACTTCTCTCTAGACATCGGTGTATATATAAGTGGGTAAACCTCCAAGTGGAGACTGGCACTACCGGAAGACCATATGCTTTAATTTGAAATTTTAGATTTTGAGTGCCTGAAACTTGCTTAGGAAGGAGCGGGAGTTTGTACTATCCGACAAAAAGTGGCACTAAAGTAAAAATAAAGTAAATAATTTAATTTAATTTAATTTCTAAAGTAAAAATAAAGTAAATAATTTAATTTAATTTCTATATAAACAAATAATTGATGGTTTATAGGGCAAGGTCGAAAGAATTTGATATATTTGATTTGGGTTAAAAAATGTTGGACTCGGTCCATAAAAAATTGGAGATTTGGTCCCCTCTTCCAAATAGAAGGATCGGAAACATTACAAGCAATTCCAATATTGCCCTAATACAATCGCTTCCTCCATAGTAAACAGAAACAGAAAAAAAAGTGTGCGTCCCTGCTATCGCCTCAACAACCTCCGACATCTTCCTCTGGTGAGAAGAAATCGAGTGTGTTTCTATGTTTGTTGGTTCAAACTGTGAATCGAAATGTCGCATTCCCTGTACAATTTTTTTTTGATCTTTGCAAAATAGAAATGCTCTCCTTTCCCGCACAAAATTAGTTATTTGTGTTTTCTTTTTGTGTGTATGTGTGTGTTAATGAAATGCTAAATCTCTTGTTAGTACTAAAGGTTAAAGATTTTAATCTCTAAATCAAAAGATTATTTAATGGTATGTCATAAGAATTTTTGATAAAAAATTTGTTTAGATATATCACGTTAATTTACAAAAACTAGTGAGCGAGCCCGTGGTAAACAACCGGTCACTTTTTAATTGGGTTTTTTTGTCATCACTTATCAATATCGATAAATTTAGTGATAACTAGCGTTCATTACTACACAACATACAATTAAAAGAGAAATAAAAGACTTTCCATAAATGGTATTAAAGGCAAATCACCTATCCCCACTGAAAGGACTACATAAGTAACAACTCTAATAACAGTTCATCTCCACAATAAAACGTCATCTTCTACATCAACCCTAGAAACCGAAAAATGAAAACCGAAGATATGCAAACAATGTTTCAATTTTGGTCAAAGAAAAAATAGCCATTTAAGAAAAATTACGAGCTGAGTAGTTGGCTTTATTGATTCAAGCATCAAAATCGTTATAAACCATCAAAATACAAAATAAAATTTGCAAACCGATTGCATTTGGGACCAAAACTGCAAAAAAGTAAGTGTTAACGGAAGGAGCATGTGTAATTTACTCTAACAAAATATAGATCACAACCCTTTAATTTGAAGATACCACAAATCGCTCGTCAGTGCATAAAAGTGTTTTGGCAGTTTCCAAGATCTTCCCTGAAAGTATACTCACTATCAGTATTAGGAACAACGCCATTCTAGGTGTCATAAGTAAAGAAAATAACCTACCTCTGGGACAAATCTGTTGAGAAAAGTTTTTGTGCCAGGTCTAACATTTGAGTCGTAGTTTTCATTGATGGTTAATGATGCACTCATGTGTTGCAGTGTTTTCAAGTATGGATGCATGCATTATTAGAAAAACATATGTTTACTTAATGATGATATGTTGTTTGTTCTTTAACTCTACTGACAAAACTAAATTACAAAAGAGATTTGCAAGACCACATTTAAATCCAGAAAAATATTCTCCAATTTCCTTTAAGATCTGGTTGCTTTAAAAGAACTCAACCGAATATTAGTGATTTTTTGGGAAGCTATATAAATATTACAAGACTGGATGAAAACCAAATGAAAAAACTTTTTGACACATCTAACATTCTTCTAATCATTGTTTCCACATGTCATACTCAATTGACTGAATAGTTAGCCCTTAATAATATGACATTTGATCATGAGCAACTTCAGGAACTAACCAATTCTTACAGTTACAGGCTTGGCAATTCAATAGTTCTGTAATTTCTTGAATATCTGTTTACAAAAATGGCATTCTCATCGTCATAAATCTGACAAAGAGCCTTGGTTAAAATGTGAATCTTCTCCATATTTTGCCATGTTTCACAAGTCTATCATAGCAAGTTAGCAACGTACTTCAAAATCATAATTTTGTGAAACCTTTTACCATGCGACTTATTGGATGATCTTGATACCATTTCAATCCTCATGTTGTCTGGTATGAGGAAATTGAAAACATGTTTGATTAATTATGCATCATACACCTTGTGTGCATAATCCTCATTATATGTGCTCCGGTAGATATATAAAAAACTTACTGAAATATTTATATTGATAAAACTATATCAATTATAAAAATATAAAATAAATGACGAGGATATACAAAAAGATAACACAAAGAGATACCTAAAAACTCTGCAACATATTTATTTTGGGGTTGTTCTTTAGCAAATTGTAAATTCCATATTTGCAATGTGTTGAAATTCTTTATAATTAGAGTGAGTTTTGATAAAATAAAACCATTGAGCCTTCCATGCTCCATTTTATTTTATGTTCTCATAAGTCAATCTGTAAAATCGAGGACATGTTATGGATTAAGAAATGCTTACCAGTTACCAATTACCACTACCATATATGAATATTAAAAAGAAATTCGTTAGCTTATTTTTCCCCTCTTTCTTTTGTATCTTCGCGTGTATACTCACATCAAAAAAATTTGAGAAAAACAATAATGTAGCCTAAGTAATGGAATAATACAAAGCAGATGTTGTGGAAAGACAATTTGTTTCATACGACAAAAGTAATAAGGCTAATTTGCTTTCTGTTTTGACACGATAATAAGATTCGTAATACAAAAATTAAACCCAAAAAAAGCATAACACATAATTATTTAGGTGATGTTTGTTTTTTCTGAGACAAAATGTCTGCAGTCTGCGGACCACATCTGTAGACCTCTGCAGTAGAAGAGGTGGACCAAACGTCTGCAGTCTGAAAAAAGAAGGCTGTTTGTTTTTTTAACATCTGCGGGCTAGTAAAATAAACTGAAATCTAAATAAACTGATTTTTTCAAACTTCAAAGTGATTTTTTAATATTTTTATGACTTTGTTATAAATAATTAACGAATCTAGATCAACTTTTATGTATTATTGTATAAAAAATAAAAATAAAAATGGTATGAATTAACGTATATATTCGATAAAAACCAACAACTCTGGTTGTAAAGTTATAACTAAACATTATAATTAGTGATCAAAGAATTTGATACATAAATGGATGGAAATAAACTTCAATTTTTTCAATTAAATCTATTAAAAACGTACCATAAATGTTTTCTCGAGAAATTGACAATACTGTATTAAATAATGTTTTACAAAATTTGGCAAAAAAATATAAGAATATATTATGATTTTTTTTTTCATATTTATATAAACAACTTCAACGACTATTATTGTAATAAATCTTTATTTATAAATTTGTCAAAAATATCATGTTTGTATCGTCGAACGTTTTTTTTTAAGTTTTGTAATTTTTTTTTTCAAATTGTTTATCATTAATAAAGTTGGAAAAAATATAAATAAAAAAAAAAACTTAAAACAAATAAAGATATATATGTTTTTTTTGCTAGAAGATGTCTGAAGATGTTAGAAGACTGTGGTCCACATCTGCGCCAAGAAGAGGATGCGCATACATTTTTAGGTCAGCAGTCTTCAAAAAAACAAACAGTCTGCGAAGGCTAATGTCTGCGCGTGGTCTGCGCGGCGCAGACAGAAGAGGCCACGCAGATCTGCAGACATAAAACAAACACTACCTTAGTGTAGTTTGTTGATTTTCTATTGTGACAAATATAAGAAAAAAGGTCTAATTAATGGAATAACCAAAAGCATATGGTGTGATTTGTTCTGCAAATTTCATCAGCAAAACAAATTCCAAGAGAAGTGAGATTACTTTCCATACATATAAACACTTGTTTTTTCTTATACAATCAACAAAATTACACAGAGGTATAAAATCAAACACTTACTGTGCATCAATAATTAGATGAGAACCGAAATAAAGGACGAAGTATGAAGGAATAAAACCTTCCTTGTTTTCGATCTTTAGTGAAATAAAACAACTACTGAAGAGCAAAACACAGAAAATCGATCTGATACAATCAACAAAATTACACATTGGTAGATTTCACATATCAAACGAAAGAATAAAGTTAGAAGAGAAACCTAAAGAACAACAGAGTCGCCGGTGGAAAATTAGACAAACGAAAGTGGTGATAGACGGAGGTCGGTATTTGGAAAATGCAAATTGTGTCTATCAAAAGTCGATATAGTGAGTGGTCCATTGCTTGTGAGAGAACATCTTCAACTGCTCTTTCGTCATCACTGATTGTGAATGAGAATTCATCCGCCATTGTAGACTACAGGTGAGAGTGTGAAAGAGGGGTTTTGGGGGATATTCTACTATTTAGGGTGAGGCTGTGAGGGTTTACACTGTGTAACGGTGATGGCCGATGGAACGATTCGTGCTTAAAGCGAATTGGAAGAATCGATATACTCACAAACATGGGTTTTAGGACGCGTGGAAAATTGACAGGGATGAAAGTTGAGAAAGTGTAAAAATGTGGTGGCCAAATTCGGAAGTGCACAAGCGCACTGTTTATAAATGCGATGCAAATTAAAGGAGTATATTAATACGTGAAAAGAAAAAAGAAAAAGAAAAAAAAAATCCTACAAAGCTAGCCCCCATCTTTTGGGATTACTTTTCTCGTCGTGACGTGTGTTTTTGGGCCCACCAGATAAGAGTCACACTCTACCTTCTTCATCAATCATCATGCACCTTCTTTTCTGTACCTAACAACATTTCAAGCTCTATCTCTGCAACACACCACAAATCCTCAAAACCTTTCGCTCTCCCTCTTCCTCTCCATCATGGACACCAAATCCAGGTAGATAAAGTACATGATTTGAATTTCATTATTATCTACCGAGATAGATCAGTAGTACTCCTTGCTTTTAATCCCCTCTT